GTGAAGCCAACAAAATGACGAAAGCTTCAAATGTTTATCAACGCTCTGTTAGCGAAAGCGTGAAATATTAAAAGACATTAAAAAAATTTCTGTCAACTTGCAAATGAAAAGTTTATGCACTCAAACAGTTAGAGAACGCTTTTCATTCGCATTAACGCGAAAACTGTACAATTATATGGCCAATCATCTCGGCACCACTTTGACCGCAAAAAGTCTAAGTGTTTGTTGTGCGAAAGCATAATCGTGCTAACTTTAGAAAATAAAATAAAAATCAAAGTTGTATGCAAACCAAAAGGCTCTTGACGTTGTTTCTCGACCTCAAGCCGAAGAATGCATACCTTCCAAGTGCAGTGATTGCGAATAATTAACTTCCACTCACCTCTCACTTTCTTCTCACATTTAGTCAGTGCACCCAACGCTTGGAAAACATGCTTAGACCAAATTTTCAATTCCCTGAAGTCTTTTTTGAGCCTTAATAAGAACCAGGCATTCCTGCGATATCTTTCTCATCAAGCCTTTTTTCATGAAAAGCAGCGATAAGATGAAATTCATAGTCTTCACAACTCTCCAAACAGTTATCGCAACTTAGACGATTTGTGGTAATTTTGTGCTGAACATCCATCAGCAACACTACGCCATATAGAGCAAATCCAATTCATGCAATAATCTCCGATAATCGATCGGGCAATTGAACTACTAACCCGCATAAATCTTGGCTAAGTAATTTTGAGGTAAAGTGTCCAATTCGGTCCTCGAACGGCTACTGATTTTCGTAAACGACTTAATAGGGTCTTGGATTACATTGTGGGATTTGGAGGAACGTGTTGGACTATGCGGTTTTCTTACAGTGTTGGATGGGCTAACTGATCGAAGTGCTCTTCAACGAACTGTTAAGTAAAGTAGGGTAGCAGTTTCATCTTTCATCTAATCGGGCGYAAAAAACCGAAATGTRTTTCWGTTGAAAATCATTTTTTGCTAAAGTGGATTTTGTGAGAAAATGTCTTGAAAATGCATRTATTTGATTGGCTCTGAAAGGTTCATTACTTTTATTACTCAAATCGTCGGATTCCCCACTTTCTTACCATGAAATTAATATGAATGGCTATGGGGTCACCACTATCCCCATTTTTCAGTAATTTATTTATGGAAAATGTTGAATCAACTTTCATTAATAATTACAAATTTAAACCAATAATTTGGTGGCGTTATATTGATGACGTATTCTCCATTTACGGTTATGGCGAACAAGAACTTGATGAATTTTTATCTTATCTGAATAATAAAGAACCAACAATTAAATTCACTATTGAAAAAGAACAAAATCACCAAATTCCTTTTCTCGATATACTAATTCAGACAAATTTAGGCAATTTCGAAAGCTTGGTCTATAGAAAACCTACTCATACTAACCGATATTTGAATTTCGACTCAAATCACCCGATAATGGTTAAAAAAGGTATCGCAAAAAGTCTATATGAT